TGCAGCAGCTCAGATAAGCATGCTCTTCTGAGGGGTTAGAATTAGCACCAGGTTGTGCTCAAGGCTGCCCACCTGGGCAAATGGATTTTGTGTAAATCCCAGAGGTTCTTTTATTAATCTTTCAAGCTCTTCTTAAACAAGGGGAGAAGGTGCTTGTGTCTTAACTATTTAATAAGCCATCCACACCAAGGCGATCCATTCATCATGGAGGAGTTAATGAAGTAGTAATGGCTACAGTTCATAGCATGTGTGTGATACACACTGAGCATGCTGCACACCTGCATTGTCGGGTAATTGTTGTAATCCCCTTTTATGGAAATCGAAGTTCAGGTACAGAACCTGGCAAAGCGGACGCACTCCGATACACAGTGGGAGAGATACGCACAGAACATAGGGGCTCCCCAGTGGCTCCTCTTTCTGCCACACAGCCCGCGCCCTTGGTGAGGGGCTGAGCAGCCTGGCTGGTGCTCACTCTCCCCCCAGGAGGTGGCCAGGCTAAAGGGCGTGGCTGCAGCTAGGGAGGAGCTGTCACTCAAAGTGGACCTGGAGGACCTGGGGTGGGCAGAGCGAGCTGCTGGCCAAGGTCGGCTGGGCAGGTGGGCAGAGCCGGAAGCCCCCGGCAGCCAGGGATGTTGTTTGCATCACAGGTGATCAAGTATGTAATGGTGTGAGTGGGGGAGGGTGGCGGTGGGAATACCGTGGGGAGCCCTGCAGAGACCTGAAGTGGGCTGGGCTGTGGGGACAGGCTCTGTACCTCCACATTTGAGAGATATGGGGGGGGGGCAGAGTCTCCCGGACAGCTTAACTGAGCAGATCAGAGCACCGGGCCCATGAGGTGGGGGGCAGGAGGGTGATGATACCCGGCGTCAGGGTTTCGGTGAGGGCCGCCCTGGGCCTGATTCACACGCCAGGCCCTCCAGATGTCAGCTCTTCATTTTCAGTTCCTTTGCGTCGTCTCTATCCTATAATGTTGATGCGAGAAAGTTGGGGTGACTGGGAGCGCTGACATGTTAGGGATTTCTGTGTGACCTGCATTTCAGAAGCAGGTCTCCACCTCTGTTCCCTGTCTCCGTTCTGCCCGCTTCCTCGCGCCTCTGACCGTCTTTGTCACACTTCCCTTTCTCATAAACCCCAGCAGGAAAGGGTGGTGATGGTGGTCACACTGGCACCGGGTGCCCGCTACTATCGGAACAGCTTACCTCCTGGCCGGGGCGACGCGAAGACGGGCTAACTTTGGTGCTAACCCTGCATCCTGTTGCTGGAACCAGAGACCTTGCTGGCGCTTGTCACTGACCTCACTCCCAGGCGCTCTAGAGCAGATTTGGCACAGAGACGCCTGAGATGAGCGTGTCTTCCCCTTCTCCCGTGTGAGGCCTTGGAGTGGCACCCGCTGCCCACCCACCGAGCCCCTCAGCCTGGCTCTCAGGCCCCGGCCTCTTGCCTGTCCTGCCCAGGGTGGCTTCCCCACCTGGATGTGCCGAGTGGGCACTGTGCCCCCTGGCATCAGCTCTTCTGTACCTTGCGGTCCCCTCTCACCGGCTCACGATCTTCCAGCCAGCACTGCCAGCCTCCCTTGGGTCTCCCTGCTGTCCTGGGCCCCGGCACGGTCCCCTGACCTTGGGGTACGGGCACGCCTCCTTGGGGCCTTGCTGCACAACTCACGGTGCATGTGAGTGGGAAAGCCTGACTCCAGTGAAGGCCTCGCAATTTCCGGTTCACTGTGGCTTTGAGCGGAGGCTTGGGAGGCAAATGGAGGGCCCGTGCGCATTGTCCCCCATCAGGAGTGATCTCCCGGGAGGCACTGGGGGTCTGTGCGCAGTGTCCCCCAAAAGGAGTGATCTCCCAGGGGGCTCTGGGGGTCTGTGCGCAGTGTCCCTCATCAGGAGTCACTCTCCCTGGAGGCACTGGGGGTCTGTGTGCGTTGTCCCCCATCAGGAGTGACTCTCCCGGGAGGCACTGGGGGCCTGTGCGCATTGTCCCCCAAAAGGAGTGATCTCCCAGGAGGCACTGGGGGGCTGTGCGCATTGTCCCCCATCAGGAGTGATCTCCCGGGAGGCACTGGGGGTCTGTGCGCATTGTCCCCCAAAAGGAGTGATCTCCCAGGGGGCTCTGGGGGTCTGTGCGCATTGTCCCTCATCAGGAGTCACTCTCCCAGGAGGCACTGGGGGTCTGTGCGCGTTGTCCCCCATCAGGAGTGATCTCCCAGGAGACACTGGGGGTCTGTGCGCATTGTCCCCCATCAGGAGTGATCTCCCAGGAGGCACTGGGGGCCTGTGTGCGTTGTCCCCCATCAGGAGTGATCTCCCAGGAGGCACTGGGGGCCTGTGTGTGTTGTCCCCCATCAGGAGTGACTCTCCCAGGAGGCACTGGGGGCCTGTGTGCGTTGTCCCCCATCAGGAGTCACTCTCCTGGCAGATGGGTGCACCGCGCTGCTCTTCACAGGCACCTCTGGAATTACAACCACAAAGGGGCAGGGGAAGCCTCAGGGCTGGGACAGTGGAGGCCTTAGGTTCAGCCTTGAGAGGTGACCATGCTGAGGGTAAGAGAGACAGATTGCACCCCCTCCTCCCACTCAGCCGGCCTCCAGCAAGAAATGGGGTGCATGTGAGTCAGAAGTCAGTGCTGGCATGGAGGGCCCCTAAATTCTGGGAGACGGAACAAAGAGGCCTCAGGGCCGGGACAGCTGAGGCCTCTGTTGTCCCTGCCCTGAGGCCTCCGCTGTCCCTGCCCTGAGGCCTCCGCTGTCCTGGCCCCGGGGCAGCCAAGCCGCGGAGGCCAGGCGGCCCTAAACCCGTCGCCTCTGTGTGTGGGACCCCACATCAGGTGTGGGAATCCCGTGCTTCCAGGCAGCGGCCGGATGGAGAGCCGCCCTGTACCATGGGCGGGAGGGGGCGCGTATGTGGGGCCTTTTACTCCCCAAGTTTGATTTTTAGCTGAAATTCTTGGAAAATAGAAAATATCTCCTTTAGCATCTTGTTAAATAAACAATTTAAAATTAAGGTTGTAGTTTAATGTGTTTTATTTCATAGCTAAATGCTTCTTGGAGTTTTTCTGAGTGGTAAAATTTATAGTGAAGTGAAAAGACAATACAACTTTTTTTAAAAAAATATATTTTTATTAATTTCAGAGAGGAAGGGAGAGAGAGATAGAAACATTAATGGTGAGAGAGAATCATTGATCACTGCCTCCTGCAAGGCCCACACTAGGGACTGAGCCTGCAACCTGGGCACGTGCCCTGAATGGGAATCTAACCGTGACTTTCTGGTTCATAGGTCAATGCTCAACCCTGACCCACGCCGGCTGGGTGATTTATAAGCCTTAGAAACTGCATTTCTGTCCCAGTAAGTGAGCTCTGTCCCAGCGAGAGTCTAACACACAGTCCCTCCTGGTCCCTCCTGGTCCCCCTGCCCCCCCTGATCCCCCCTGGTTCCTGCTGGGCCCCCTGTTCCCGACTGATCCCCCTGGTCGCTCTGGGCCTCCCTGATCCCCCCTGATCCCTCCTGGGTTCCCCCCCCCC